ACAATGGTGAGCTTTCTTTGGCCAGAGTATAAGGCCACCCTTGGACCCCCACCCCTGAAAATTTGCTTGGCTAGAATAAGCCATTTCTCAATGCCCCCTGCTGACTCTGGAGCCTCGCTGCCAGGCTCCCCTTTGCCTCCTGGGCCCAGCCTTGCTCCGTGAGGTTGGGCAGAGTGAGAGGAGGCCTTGCTGGCTGGCGGAGGTTGCCTAGCCTTCTCTGGTTGCTCCCTGGCCCTGGGAAGCCAGTTCTCCCTTTGTTTGGAGGTCCCTTGACTGGGCTTTTCAATGCAGGGCCGGACAGCCAGTACACCAAAACAGCCCAGGAGATTGTGAGCATCTGCTACCAGACCTTAGCGGAGGTAAGGGGCCCTGCTCTGAATCCATCAAACGCTGCTTTCAGTTTGGCAGCCCTGCAAATGTTGCTCTTTCTTTCACCTTCAGTATGATGAGCACCTGACTCAGCTTGAAAGAGACATTTCGACTGCCAAAGAAGCAGCCTTGGAGGAGGCTGACCTGGAGAGCTTGGATCCCATGACTCCTGGGCCCTACACGCCGCAGGTGAGTCTGTCTATGACCGGAGAGGGGGGGGGGCTGCAGCTATTCTTGATCTGCTCAGGTTTCTGTGTAACAGCTCAGGTCGACTCCTAGCTCAGGAGATGCTTGGTGGAGAGAAAGCCAGGATGGACTTTAATTGACTTGTACCTGTGGGGGTTGAGCTGGAGGGAGAAGGGATCCCAGAGCAGTTTTCCATTCCAGGGAGATCCAGTTCAGTTGTAACCCATTGCTGGTACTTCTGGGTCTTTCCCTGCTTCCTTGTCCTTGTTTAATTCCTGCCAGGATTGTCCACCAAAACTGTTTCTCAGGCTTTCCCTCGTGTAGAAGACCCATTAGATGGTCCACCAGCTCTCTCAGGGTCTTCCCAGGCTTTCTCCAGCTCTCCGGTCAGAACAGGATTGGAGGTGATGCAGCTGCTGAGAGCCTGGCAAGTGACCGAAAGGCTGCACTGGTTTCACAGACTGTTTTCAGCCAAGGCTTCGAAAGCAAAATAGAAAAAGGTCAACCAAGCAGCAAAAAGATAACTGATAGGAATGAATGCAGAAATGACTCGCTGGTTGTCCTTCATTGGGAATGTGGGTCAGTAAGGGAGGAACTGTCATTTTTACTGTTCTTGCCGTGAGTCCGAGAGAGAGGAAGCGATGGGAATGCGCAGAGCTTTTTTTCTGAATAGGGGTCTGAGCTCCAGCCTCTCACAGTCAGCCTGCTTGATTCAGGATAGCTAAGAGAAGGAAGAGAGGGGCTCATTTCTGAAAGCACCTCAGAAAGCTCGTATCTCATCTGCACTCCCGTGATTTCCTCCTTTCAAACGCCCTGTAGCCACCCGATTTGTATGATACCAACACCTCGCTCAGTATGTCCCGGGATGCGTCCGTCTACCAAGATGAGAGCAATCTGTCTGCTATGGACACACCCACCACGACACCCGAAAAGCAGTCTGCACAGGTCAGAAACGCACCCGAGGATTCCACAGGAAAAGAGAGGGGCGCTGGCTGCAGAAAGGAAGAATAGCTTTCCCACAGGAGCTGTGGATCGAGGGCAGACATGTTGAAATAGGGCATGGCACAGTAAGGGCGGTAGTTTCTTTCTCATTCCTGGCCAAAGGTGTGGAACCAGAGCTCTGTAGAAGAAGATCTCTTGCAAAAGGCCTTGTTGATCAGATGGTAATTTCTGGGAATGACGGATGCAACTATCTTTTTGCTTTGAAAAGCCTTTGAAAGGGATTCCTCTATTTGGAGCAGCCGGGAAAAGAAATGAGACGCGGGCCTGTTGACAGAGAGGAGTCCCCATTATTGTTACTTCATTCATGTCTTGCCTTTGGGCTCCAAGCTCACATTAAGTGAGGAATGTTTCTGAACATCCAGAAACTTTTGCAATGTCAGATCGTTGCTCCTTTCCTGGTTTCATTCAAATATGAAAAGACACGTGCCAGAAATGCAGAGGGTCATTTCAATCCTTGTAGTAGTGAATGGAGGGCTCACATTGAAAACAATGGGGGAAAATAGTTCTTGAAAAAGATAATAATGTAGCCTAGCTAACCTGGGACAAACATGTTTTTCCTAGTATGGTTCTTTTTTTTAACGTGTTGGCTATAATTATATGATGTAGACAAAGGAGAGGGAGAAAGTTGAGAAGGAGGAATGGGGAGGACATGTTCCTCGGGGGCTTTAGTGGGGGTCCACTTGTGAGTTTTGTCAGCTGCCGCAAAAGGTTGGTTTTTTCCAGTCCAGGGAGGCAGTTGTGTCTCTAGGCCCCTGCGAGGCTGTGGAGGAGAAAGCTGGTGCCCAGGGTGCCCGGCACTGTGTGCTTTGGGGCTTGGGACCTGTTGCTCAGCTAGTCTAAAGGGTAAAGCCCCACAGCCCAGGCAGGCATTGCCCTGGTGGAGGCAGCACCACAAGGCCAGCTAGGAAGTGCCCCCCCCCCCACCCTGGTGGCTTGGCTGGCCTGTTTTAAAAGCGTCTGCCCCCCCCCGTGCCTGCTCCTTCCTCAGTGGCGTTATCTCTGTGTTCCTCACTCAGATGCGGCAGGGCCAAGGTAGGCTGGGCGAGGAAGACTCTGACGTAGATATTGAAGGGTTGGATGAGGATGAGGATGGGAAACCTAAGACTCCAGCCCCAGTGAGTATCTGTGACCCCACCTGTAGCTCACCTGTTGACTTCTGCTCTCATGGCAGAAGCTGAGGCAGTGCAGGGCCCTCCGGAATGATTCTATCAGCAGCGGATGGAATGCTAGACAAAGCGATTAGTTTTTAGGAAGAGCTGGCATTGCCGGTGCACCGTGTCAGTGGGAAGGAAGCCAGGTGTTCTTTTGATGTGCTTCTGCTTCTGACCGCCTCTTCTCCTTCCTGCTCTTTTGTGACAGGAAGTGGAGGATGTGGATGGGGACCTGGTTGATGAGGAAGAAGGCTCGGTTCAGCAGCCTCAGGCCAGTGTGCTCTATGAAGACTTGCTCATGTCAGATGGGGAGGACGATGATGGCAGCGATGAGGAGGAGGGCGATAATCCCTTTTCGTGTGAGTTCTGAAAGGGGCAGGAACTGTGGTGCCCTTGTTTGTTGTATATACTCCTAGTTCCAGAGAGAAAGACTCAGGAAGGCATCCTCCCTCGCTCCCTCTTTCTGTGTTTCTTGCCAGAGACAGGAGTGGGTTGGATCTGAGACCAGGGTAGAACTGGGGAGGGGAGAGAATGCAGGCTAAGTGCAAAACAGAAAGGGATGCAGATTTGAGTACAGGGAGTTTTCTTTGGGTCAGAAGAGTTTGGAAAGAGGCTTCACTGCCCTCCTGGCCCAGGGATTTTTAGGAAAGGGGGTGGGGGAAGTGTCTGTGATACTGTGGTGAAAAATGAAGGCGCAATTAGATAAATGGAGAAAAGAGAGCACCTATGAATTGGAAGAAGAATAGGACAGCCACCATGGGAGCAATTAGGGAAATGCTTTGTTTATTTACTATTAATATTTTTATACCATCCAGTAATTGATGTTCTCCTGTAAAATATATAAAGATAACAATAATATAAACATTACTTAATGTGAAAAAAAAATGTTTATTGGAGTAGTTCCAATGATTAGCCATCTTTTTCTGATGTTTTTCTTTCTGTTGATTCGAGTCATGGCAGTATGCCTGGCAGCCTTTGTGGAAATGCACAACTGCTGAAATCTTTCTTTCTTTTTGGTGGTGGTGTTGCTTAGCGGACTTTGAAAGCCAGACAATTAGTGAGATGGTGCTGAGGAAGTAAATGTCCCGGGAGCCCCCGGCACTGACAGGGAGAACCTGTGGGTGGCAAGTGAAGGCACAGCATCAGAGTGACCCTTCGGTTGTGTCTCCTAGCTATTCAGCTTAGTGAGAGCGGGAGCGATTCTGATGTGGAGCCCAGCGCAGTTCGGCCTAAGCAGCCTCACGTCCTCCAAGAGAACACACGGATGGGCATGGACAACGAGGAGAGCATGATGTCCTACGAGGGAGCTGGAGGAGAGGCCTCTCACGCCATGGAAGACAGCAACGCCAGGTGAGGAGGACGGCCCATCAGGCAGCCCATCGTTCAGCAGAAGAATCCTAACTGTGTGCCTTCCTTTGACAGATAAGGGACCCTTCTTGTTTCTTTTCCAGTTACGGCAGCTACGAAGAGCCAGGCGCAAAGTCCAATACGCGCGATGCCAGTTTTAGTAGCCTGGGGGGGTACGAACTCTCGGAAGAGGAGGAGGAGGAAGAGGAGGAGGAAGAGGAGGAGGAAGAGCAGCGATGCGGCCCCAGCGTGCTAAGCCAGGTCCATCTGTCAGAGGATGAGGACGACAGCGAGGATTTTCACTCCATAGCGGGAGACAGCGATCTGGATTCTGACCAGTGAGGATGGCCTGGCATGGAGTTGGCGGCCTTGGACTCTTGCTCTCCTTCCGGCCTCTGAAGAAGAGGAGAAGACCGGGGGAGGGCACAACCACCGTCTCTCCTGCGGCCCTGGACTCCTGTGCGTCCCTAGGAAGGCAGCACAATCCACCAGGGCTTCCCTGGCTCTAAATTATTTGGGGGGGGGGGGGTTGGGGGGGTTAAGGGGGGGGGGAGTAAGGAGGGAGCTAGCAGCATGTGGACATTTTCCCCCAACTGTAAATAAACCTCTTTTTGGAAGGCCCCAGGGTCCTCTTGCTTTTGGGGAGGGGGGAATGACGCTGGTGGGGAGGGAGGGACACAGCTATGAAGGAGAGGGGGGGATCAGCACCGTTTCTCCCCCCATCTGCCAAGAAGAGGCAGCCATTTTGCGCTCCATCGGAGGGGTGATGAGACGGAGCCCCGCCCCCTTGCGGCGCCCTTTCCCCCCCCGCTGTGTCGCAATCGAATTCCCGCCCTTTTCCTTCCAGTCCGCGATCGCCCCACCCCCCATAAAGGAGGGGGAAATGCTCGCCGTCCAGCTACGGCGCATGCGTTCTGCGCAGTGAAGCGTCCGGCGGAGGACTACGGGTGACGGTGCCTGGAGAGCTGCGTTTCTACCTGGGGCCCGTTGGAACAGCGAGAGGCAGGAGGCCGCGGATCGCGCAGCGCCCTTCCCGTAAAAGTCGCCCTTGCAGAAGGGAGGGAGCCAAATTGCCCCCCACCCCGAATCCAGGGGCTATTTCGTGGCAGGCGAAAGAAGGTCCGGCGGGGCGCTTCGCTCAGGCGCCGTCTCCTTGCGCGCCGCCATTTCGGGAGCCGCAGCCTGAGGAGGCGCGAGGGATCCGGCGGGGACCGAGGCGGATTGCCAGCGAGGCGGTTGTTGGAGCCATGGCTGCGTCCGTGGGGAACGTGGCCGACAGCACAGGTACCTGTCGCCGCGCCCGCGCCTCCCGCCATTCGCGGGCTCCGTAGCGCCCGCGGCGGCTCCGAGAAGGCCTCAGCCCGGGCGGGAGCCTCCTCTGCGGTCGCCGTCGCCCTCGAGACGGCTGGGGGGGGGGGGGGGGGGGGGCCGGCGGGGAGAGCCGCGCCGTCCCTGCCTCGAGGGCTCCGGGGCTGCCAGGGGCCGAGGCGGCGCCGAGAGGCCGAGCAGAAGCGGCCCTTCGTAGGCGCCGTGAGGGGAATCCTTCGGCCTCGGAACAGCCGGCGTTTTTCCCGAGGTGCGGCGGGAGCACGTGGGGGCTCCTCGGGCCGCAGCTAAAAAGCCTCCCGGGCGCTGACAATAGCCTCGCAGAAGGACGAGCACGATGGGCCGCCGGCTTTTCCGGGGGCTTCGCTGATGGGCCGCGCGGAGGGGGGGGCGCAGGTGCGGGACCCCCGCGTGCACATGCGCAGTGGGTCCGTGCGGTGTTGTTTTTTTCCCCCCAGGGGCCGGCGCCCCGGACACGAGGAGCGCTTCCCGCAGGCGCCCCGGAAAGGCGACCTGCAGCCTCTGGGCAGCTAAAGGAGCCTTTAGGACTCCCTCGCTGCACAGTTCCCTTCCCAACAAAATGGTGGTTGTGGTTTAATGGTGGTCGGAGAAATCTTCTTCTTCTTCCCAGAGGACGGTCAATTGCGACGCCTGGCAGGCTCGGGCCCTCGCGGGGGCTTCCCACCCTTGCTTTCAATGCCGAAGGATCGTCCCTTGCCTCCAGCGGTGGGGATCCAGGGCAGCGGCTGCTAGCTAATAGCCTTGGGCTGGGACCTGCTTAGGGCCATATGTAGCGGGTAGATAAGGATAGGGCAAATTTGGCTTCTTACCATAAGCGAAACAAATTCATGTAGGAATACAATGCACACAAATGAAAATAATGGAATGCTGTATAATTTTTCATGTTTCAACATTTCAAATAGTATAACCGCAATTTAAAGGAAATTTCCTAATTCTAAAGATTAGTGTGTGGTCTTAACTGTTAAAAAAGGAATTGCACCTCTGCTGTGTGGTTTTTGCCCCCACAGATGATAACCTTTCTTCCGATAACACTTTTAAAAATTTTTAGCTTGCATAGCAAGGGGATAAAGAATAACCCTTGTATTTGAGTTGCTTGTATTCAGTTCCTACTTCACTGTTATAGACAAGTGCTGTGGATGTTTTCTTCCTAGGGTTTCTGGATGAATTTTTAATCTATAGAATCTTACTGCTGCATTACATAATAGTATAAGGTTGTTCTCAAGTGGCTAAAGAGTTGAAGACAGTTCAAAATTATCCGACAAACTCTATCTATTGAATTGGGCAAGTGACTTTTACCTGCCTTTTAAATAGATATAATTATATGTTAGGTACTGGAATAAATCACTTTGGGCAGGTTACAAATGGTTCAGATGAAAAACAGCTAAAAGGAAAAGAATTGGTCTTTTTCATATACAATTTCTTTGCGGGCCCCAGTATTAAGCAACTCCTCATCCATTGAGGGCTGTGATAATCTGCTCTTCTGTTTATAAAAAAACTGCTTTAAAAAAAAAAAACGCTGTTGAAATTGCATTATTTTTTAAAGTGTGGGCATTCTGATTCGTGATTTATTTGCTAACTTACCATCTTGATGGAAAATTACAGAGAAGTGTTGTGCAAGCTTTTATGAGCCTGTTTTCAAAGCTTGTGCAAATCTTCCTTTTCTTCTCTGAAGATAACATCGAGTTCAGCTTTTCATCAAACTTGGCTTATTTACTATTTGTAATACTGTAGCTTGTGATAAATAATTCACTTTAGTTCATAACACCTTATCAGGCTTGAATTAATTTTAGGCATTGTTTCATTCAGTGTTTTAATTTTCAAGGGTATTAAAAAAATCTGATTCCTAGTCCAGCAAATGTTGAGTTTCATTATCTCCCCTCTCCTGATTTTATTGGGGAGAAAGAGAATCTTGCTCTGGAGCTGATGAACACACAGGAAAACCAGTGGTCTATAGCTCTCTCTGAACAAAGTCTGGAGGTCTTCTCAGCAATGTTAAGTTTATTTGGCAGATAACAATACCTGCTGTATGCGATCATTTCATTGCATGGAATCATGTTTTTATTTTCTCACATGGACATTTTGATTTTAACATTAAGGCTTGTGTTGAATGATGGTATAGTCCTAACATTGGCCTGTTTTAAAGAAAGTGTTTGTGAAAGATTGCCACCAAGCCTAAAGCAGACAGTCTGGGTCATGGCTGAGGCAAAGCTGAAGATGCCAAGATTGGGGGCGGAGGGGGGAGTTATTAGTCAAGGAAAGGATCGACATCTTTGCAGCCTGACAATTACCATCATTCACCATTAAGTTAGGAAGTCATATGTCTGTTTTTAATCATCAAATACCCCTTGGATGTTGGCATTTCATCTTTTAATTTGTACACCATTGTTTACCCATTTTTATTATCCATTGTTTATCCATTTTCTAACTTTTTGTTTTCCTCCCCTCCCTCCCCTGAATGTTTTGGTGATTCTTCAGAACCAACGAAACGTATGCTTTCCTTCCAAGGGTTAGCGGAGTTGGCTCACCGGGAGTATCAAGCAGGAGATTTTGAAGCAGCCGAGAGGCACTGCATGCAGCTTTGGCGCCAAGAGCCTGACAACACGGGAGTGCTCTTACTGCTGTCCTCCATTCACTTCCAGTGCCGCAGACTGGACAGGTAAGGAAGCTGGTGCCTTTCTGCCCATTGCTTAGGGCACTGCTTAGAAAGACAAACGCTGGGCACCGGGATGGCATTCTGATGCTCCCACTCAACTCTCCCAAAAGTTTTCTGTGTTGTTTAAATTTGATGGAATATTTCAAAATATATTAAATATGCAGGAAGCCCCATTGCAAGTACATCCTACCTTCAACTAAAGTTTCTGGTAACATGACAGAATTGGGAAATAGCAAGAAATGTTGAACTGAAACAGAATGTTTCTGAATCAGCTGCTTCTCAGGAATCCAAAAACAATACAGTATTAAAAAGTGCATCTCATATTAGATGACACCTTAGCTTGTGTGTGTGTGTGAACAGGGTCTCATTGTTCTGGGAAATACCATTTGTGTGATAGTTTTCTTTGTCTTATTACTGTAATACATGACGAAAGATATACAGTTGTGTTCATAAGTTTACATACCCTGGCAGAATTTATGATTTCTTGGCCATTTTTCAGAGAATATGATTGATAACACGAAAGCTTTTCTTTCACTCATGGTTAGTGTTTGGCTGAAGCCATTTATTATCAATCAGTTGTGTTTACTCTTTTTCAATCATAATGACAACAGAAACTACCCAAATGACCCTGATCACAAGTTTCCATACCCCAGTTCTTAATACAGTGTATTGTCCCCTTTAACATCAATGACAGCTCCAGAACCTTCACTTTATTCTGCTGTAGCCAATGACAGGTCAACTTGGCCTTGTGTTTAGGATCATTGCCATGTTGGAATGTCCAAGTACGTCCCATGCGTAACTTCTGGGCTGATGAATGCAAATTGTCCTCCAGTATCTTTTGATAACATACTGCATTCATCGTGCCATCAATTCTGACCAAATTTCCTGTGCCTTTGTAGCTCACACATCCCCAAAACATCAGCGATCCACCTCCATGTTTCACAGTAGGAATGGTGTACTTTTCATCATAGGCCTTGTTGACCCCTCTCCAAATGTAGCATTTATGGTTGTGGCCGAAAAGCTCGATTTTGGTCTCAACACTCCAAATTACATTGTGCCAGAAAGTTTGAGGCTTGTCTCTGCTGTTTGGCATATTGTAAGTGGGATACTTCGTGGCATTTGCATAGTAATGGTTTTCTTCTGACGACTCGACCATATAGTCCATCTTTCTTCCAGTGCCGCCTCATTGTGCATCTTGCAACAGCCACACCACATGTTTTCAGAGAATCCTGTATTTTACCTGAAGTTATTTGTGGGTTTTTCTTTGGATCCCGAACAATTTTCCTGGCAGTTGTGACTGAAAATTTAGTTGGTCTACCTGACCGTGGTTTGTTTCAACAGAACCCCTCATTTTCCACTTCTTGATTAAAGTTTGAACACTGCTGATTGGCATTCTCAATTCCTTGGATATCTTTTTATATCCCTTTCCTGTTTTATACAGTTCAACTACGTTTTCCCGCAGATCCTTTGACAATTCTTTTGCTTTCCCCATGACTCAGAATCCAGAAACGTCAGTGCAGCACTGGATGAAGGATGCAAGGGTCTGTTAGGAGGCCAGAAACTCATTGACCTTTTATATACACACACTAGTTACATGCAAACAGATCATAGGTGAGGATGGTTACCTTTAATAGCCATTCACACCCCTGTGTGCATGTTATCAGGCCACAATCATCAGTGTGATCAGGGTCATTTGGGTAGTTTCTGTTGTCATGATTGAAAAAGAGTAAACAGTTGATTGATAATAAATGGCTTCAGCCAAACACTAACCATGAGTGAAAGAAAGGTTTTCATGTTATCATTCGTATTCTCTGAAAAATGGCCAGGAAATCATAAATTCTGCTAGGGTATGTAAACTTATGAGCACAACTGTATTGTGTATCAGCAGTCCTTGGTTCTTAAGGCCGTGCATATGAGATTACCATTGCTGCTGCTGCTGCTGCAATAATTGTTGAGAAAGAGACTGAAGATAATGTGCCCTGTCCCAGTGTTCTAGATTAAGGTAGCTTTTGCTCATCGTTCTCTTCAGCAGGATGCCTTAGGTGGAAACCCAGCTTCTCTGCCACACCACATGTTTTCAGAGAGTCCTGTATTTCACCTAAAGTTCCAGGGCTCACTGGAAGAATAAAATTAACAGTGGCTTCCGTGGAAGAAGTGAATATGTGCAGCCTGTTAGAGCCCTCAGGCTCAAACAAAAAAAAAAAATGATGGACAGAGGTGCTCTAATGAGTGGCAGTTCACTGTGGACACCTGCAGGCAATTTTTTTAAATCCACAATTAAAATTACCTTTTCAAATGCTGAACTTGGATTCTTTTGATAGTTCTTAAACTGTCATAAATCCAGTGAATAATTACTACTTTGATAAAGGCACCTTAAATCTTTGCTTTGTATTTTCTCTAGGTCTGCTCACTTCAGCACTTTGGCGATCAAGCAGAATCCCTTATTGGCAGAAGCCTACTCCAATCTGGGAAATGTGTACAAGGAACGTGGACAGCTGCAGGAGGCCATCGAACACTACCGGCATGCTCTTCGCCTCAAGCCAGACTTCATTGATGGATACATTAACCTCGCTGCTGCTTTGGTAGCTGCAGGAGACATGGAAGGGGCAGTGCAGGCCTACGTTTCTGCCCTGCAGTACAACCCTGTGAGTAGAGATGGTGCCAAGCCTTTGGAAAAGCTTTTTTCTCCAAAAGAAGTTTGAAAAAGCCCTTCAAGGTTGCACCTAAATGCCTTTTACTGCTGTGTGAGTGACAGTAGTGTGCTTAAGGCTGCTCTGTGGATGGACTGTTGATCTTTGTTTGAACCAGCATTCCCCAGTGTGGTGCCCTTGAGAAGCCGCCCTTGGGCAACAGCTCCTGTCCATCCTGTTGGGAGAATTGGTATTCAGACGAGTTTCTATTCGCTATCCTGCCCTACTGCTTGCTTGAGCAGCTTGTTCTCATCTTCTACAAGGATGGGTGCCATCCATTAATTTAGGCATCTCTCCTACTCTTCCCGTAATCTCATGCTTCCAAGTACTTTCTCATGCTTCCAGTAAATTCCAGCACATAGTGCATAAGCTGTGTGGTAAAAGCTATATGAAGGTCTATTATCCAGCAGGATAATTTTATAGAGACTTTATGATTCCAACTGACACCTTCCAGTCCTCCCCTTTACAGAAAATTATTAAAAGTACCCTAGAAGCTTTGTTGATTAGGTTTTTTTATTGCAGTAGTCTCATTTTCTATTTCTGATCTGTTGATCTGGATCGGCTCTGCTGGTGTTGACAGAACCCATTTGCTTTTCAGGACTTGTACTGTGTGCGTAGTGACCTGGGGAATCTGCTCAAAGCCCTGGGTCGCTTGGAAGAAGCCAAGGTAGGTGTTCTGTAGAATCAGTCTTTTGAACTATGTGAACGCTTGCACCAAGTCTTCCATTCTCCGCTGACCTCCAAGAGTCCCAAGATGTGGCTGAAAGCTGAAGGCTCTGAATTGCCCCAGAGTAGTGGCAGGGCAAGATATGGCATGCCCATGTTAACCCTTGCTTTAAGGCAAGAAATTGAACACTGAGTCTTGCTGCAGAACTAGACTATCCATTATGGTGAAGTGACTGGCAGGGGCACCACTACTCTGTGATCTGGAAATAACATGGGTCCCAAACTGAGGCTTGCCTGCTGATGCCAAGCCAGTGACTTAGTCCGTGCTTCCTGTGAATGCTCTTCTAAAGTCCTTTGTGGCTTGTAAGTGTAGAAGAACCTTATCAAATGTTACCCTATGAATATGGCATTAAAGAGATTCTTTAACCCTTCCCCTCCCCCTGCCCCCACATGGTTCATGGAAGAAAGGCTAGCAAACAGCATTGTTGCAGTTGGGTTCTTCGAAACAATCTGTTTTTGCCCAAATGTTGAATAAAGGTGTTGGTTTGCTTGGAAAATGACCTGATCAAAGAAAAACTTGCTACATTAAGTGGAAAGGTGGCTTCTAGCAGTCTGGTTTCCAACCAAGAATTTGAATACCAGGATGGGTTTCGAGGCTCTTGGCATGACAAAAACTTAGAATGCAAAAAAAGGAAAACGGGGAATTGTCTTGTTACAAGCCACCTTACGCATTTGCGCAGCAGGGGTGAGGAGTGTGGAGGAACCAGAAGGACCTCCGCGGCAGTCCTTCGCTTCAAGCCCCGCGCGCATGCTATCAAGTGGAGTGTATGGAGAGTGTAGCTGTCCGGCTGACTGCTGTGCCTCTGGGCGGGGGAGGGGACTTGGCTTGCCCGAAGGGCTGGCGGTTGGGCCTTGCAAGCTGGGCCATGGAGCTGCCCTTGAAAAGGGATGCTGATGGGCGTGAAATGTCTTTTTGAGAAGACCAGCGATGCTCAGCCTGTCGGGTGGACAGCTAACGTGAACTGCACTTCACTGCAGCTTTTAGTGTGACTGGTATAGGCCAAGACACTGCGCCTGCCTTAGTTGCTGACCTCTTTATTTCAGAGCTTGGAGACACCTAGTTTGAAAGTGTGACTCTGTTTCTGTGAGAATTCCAGTAAAAAAGGGCAAGATAACAAAAGACGTCAAGATAATACACATACTTGAAATAAATTGCAATGTATTTCTTTGGCTGTCAGTGCATTTGTAAGATCAAACCAGCAAGAATATTTGCTATTTCAAGTAAAATGTAAGTTTTGTGGAAATTTCAGAGCCTTTCTTCCAACTGCCCTGCTGTTTGCAGTTTCCCCAATTAACCCCTTCCCGTCTGCATGTCTCCCATATTACAGAAAACTGTCCTGAACCCTTGTGTTAGACATATCCAGAGATTTTCAATTGCTTTGTTGAACTTTTTACTAATGATCTTGTTTTATTTTCTCTCTTGTTTTTGGTTTTTCACCATTGATATTGTATTTAGAAGGTTTCAGGTGGGTGAAACCTCCTATTCCATGCGTAAGGTGCCTCGCTGAAGGGAGCTCGAGGCCTGGATCTAGGGCAGACACACTCCTCCTCCTCCTCTTCCAGCAAGGAACGCACCGAAAACTCACATGAGAAATATGGTAACGGGTTTGTAACTGCCACAGCAAAACCATTTGCCTCCATGCCTGAATCTTCTGTCTTGTGGCTTCAGAAACAGTTTAAGTATTTAATGTACAACAAGTAATGTTAGAGAATATTTTATAATCCTAGCCACAATTCTTTCAAAGATATATTGTAAAAGTAAATTAAAGATGTAAAAAAAAATAATTGAAGTTACTATAGTTAAAGCTTCTAACTCTTCCTGGTTGTTCATTTTTTTCCTTTTTCTTCTTTGTTTGGATTGCAGCGTTCTGCTCTTCTGATGATGCTGCGCTGTGATCCTGCAGTAGCGCAAAGGCTGCGCAGCGGAAATGCGCCTTGCGTGCGATTGTGCCCTTGTGAATGGTTGATCAGATACGATTCATCTCTAACTGCGTGGCTTCCTGAGCCCTGTGCTGTAGGATTTTCGATAAAATTGGCTTTGCAACTGCATTCAGATTTCAGACACAAATTGAACACTAACAGTTTTCACAGAGGCCTCTCTGGAAGATTAATCAGTCTGGCTGGCCGTTCACAGTCTCCGGGGCGTTCTACACAGTGCAGTTTGCAGCGATAGCGCAGCGGCGCGCTGTTAGGGAGCGCTTGCGGCGTCTTGCGCTTGCATTGCAGGGACCTGAACCTTTGGGCAAAGCTGGTATTTGAGGTTTTGGAAGCTGAAGGTGGCGCTGAGATGTGGAGAAAGGCAAGATCAGGACAGAGCCCTGGAGTTGAAAGGGGGCTGTCCACTTAAAGGCATCCGTTGCATGTGCTGCCTGTTTTTGGTAGCTCCTTTGGAAAGGCCTGGTTAAGCGTCACCCAGCTGCTTTAGATGCTTTCTCCTCCACTTGCTTTCCAAGCCACTGTTAAAAGTTGCATCTGCAATTGATGCTTGCTTTGGATTTCACAGGAATGCAATGACCCTGGAGGTCAGGGAGGGAAGGGGGACGGGGAATTTCCTGGGCTGAGTAAGGATTGCAATGCGCGGATCAGTCTAACTGAGGATGGTGGGTTTGCCCTCGGGTTTTGGTTTGCGCCAGCGCAGGATCAGCCAGCTGTTTACAACCCTTTAGTTTTGGCGCAAGCAAGCCTATACTGCAGGATCACTTTTGGCGGGTTGGAGAAGGTATACTAACGATGTTTTTCTCAATTTTCTTTGTGCAATTATTCCCTCCCCTTGTATCTATCTTTAACCCTTCCAAGGCCTGTTATTTGAAGGCAATTGAAACGCAACCCAATTTTGCAGTTGCATGGAGTAACCTTGGCTGTGTGTTCAATGCTCAAGGAGAAATCTGGCTTGCCATTCATCACTTTGAAAAGGTAACTGTTTGGGACTGTTAACATTCCATTTTCAAAATGCTTTAACGGAGAGAGCCTGGCTTCCTGGGACAAAAGCAGGTTGAATTGGTGCTTCTATACACGGTTTGTGTGCCTCAAAATTGATGCCTTATTAGAAGCGATCAGGAAGAAAAAAGGCTTTTGGAACTCCTGGATTTTTATCACTTCCAAGCTTTGGGAAGAATAATAATGAAGAGGAGGGAGGCCTGCAGTGAGTTAATCACAATAGAAATGGATGGTGGGTGGGTGAAATCTTAAGGATTACTGTGGTGGTGTTTCATGTAAAATACACTATAGGACCAACCTTATTCCCTCCCTCTTTGACGTGAGCTTGTGTCGCAGGATATATTGCTCCAAGGAATGAGCATATGTGTTGTCAACGTCCTTGAAAAACTTGCATCTTTTCCTGGGCTCACATGATAGCCATTTGTCCTCGGGAAAATGGTCATGAGAAAGTACAACAAAACCCTTTGGAATAGGTGTGGGCACCTATCAGTAACCCTTAACCAGAGACCCCACGCAACTGTACCAGCCCAGGGAAGATGGAACTGCTTTAAGGAGGTGCCAACCGGTGCGGAGTAGAGCGTGTCAGCTTATTAGCTTTGGGTTTCAACCACAGCATATCTTTACTTTCCCATATGTACATATGTAGTCATCTAAGATGGTAAATTAGAGAGAGGAGATGAAAGAGACTTCCCAGGGACACGGCCTTCAAATGTGATTTCAGTATTACCTTTGCTTCACTAGGAAGCAGAGTCAGCTGGTCTAAAGCAAACCTCTTACGGTTTTTTCAATTTTTTAAGGCTGTGACCCTTGACCCAAACTTCTTGGATGCTTACATCAATCTGGGGAATGTCTTGAAGGAAGCCCGGATATTTGACAGGTAATCCAACAAAACCAATCCTTCCCAAGAAGGGCTTGGCTTTTTATCCCCCTGGGAATGGGGGTGCACCAAGGCAGCCTTTTGTGCAATGTTCCCCAAGGATCATCGGCTTGATTTCTAGTGTCTCGTTTTAGAGCTGTTGCAGCCTACCTGAGAGCCCTGAGCCTGAGTCCAAACCATGCAGTTGTGCATGGCAACCTGGCCTGCGTCTATTATGAACAGGGGCTGATTGACTTGGCCATAGACACCTACAAGCGTGCCATTGAGCTGCAGCCGCACTTCCCCGATGCTTACTGCAACCTGGCCAACGCCCTTAAGGAGAAAGGCAGCGTAAGAAACTGTTTCTCACTAGCCAGGGTGGGCCAGGTTGCATCGTGGAAGCTTTGGCTCCACTTTTGAAAGAGAGTGGTCCTTCTCTCTTTTTTAAAAATACTAAACTTTGTGTCATCTGTGTCAACAGGTTGCTGAAGCAGAGGAATGTTACAACACAGCCCTTCGCCTGTGTCCCACTCACGCAGATTCCCTCAATAACCTAGCAAATATCAAGCGGGAACAAGGAAATATCGAGGAGGCTGTTCGCCTCTACCGTAAAGCTCTTGAGGTCAGCTTGTCAATCTATCCATGACAGTCAGCCTCAGACTTGTGCCTAGAAGCCTGGCCCACCTTCCTTTAATTTGGTAGCCTTGAATTGTAGAAATAAAGGCTAAGAACGTCATCTTGGGAAAGGAGGGAGATTATTCTCTACAATTTTGAATACCTTTTGGAAAGGATTACATTTTGCTTCTCTTTCTACGGGGCTTCTGCTGGGAGATTGAAAATCCCTCTCCTCTCGCTGGCCAGTTAGTGCAGGAAGAGAAAGATCAGAGAACAGGAGAGATGGGCTCAAGGGAAGGGCTGTGTGTGGGGGGGGGGGAGTACACACAGTACCTAAACAGGGTGGGAAGATCAATTCACGGCACACATCGGTTATGGGCAGCTCCAGGAAGGCATAGGGTATGTCACTCAATATACATAAATTATGTTTCAGTACTTTTTAAGTTAAAAATGATACAAAAGTGATTTGGATACTAGAGACTGGGATTTTCTTGGAAGAACTAAGGCCATCTCATTCCCTGCAGGTTTTCCCAGAATTTGCAGCCGCCCATTCCAATTTAGCAAGCGTTCTCCAGCAGCAGGGAAAGCTGCAGGAGGCACTCATGCATTACAAGGAAGCTATCAGGTAAGGCTTTAAACATTTGGAATGGCTGGGATTCTTCTGCTGTGAACAGTGCCCTTCCTTATAACCCCTTTTTCTGTGACTTAGAATCAGCCCCACGTTTGCCGATGCATACTCAAACATGGGGAACACCTTAAAGGAGATGCAGGATGTCCAGGGAGCTCTGCAGTGCTACACACGGGCCATCCAGATAAACCCTGCCTTTGCCGATGCCCACAGCAACCTGGCTTCCATCCACAAGGTAGGTCTGGTTTGGTCTGGTCCAGGTCACATTTGGTGGCTGTGGCAGCAAGCAGCTGTTCTCATGTAGCTCCTCTTCCTCTGCTTCCAGGATTCAGGGAACATACCGGAAGCCATTGCTTCATACCGCACTGCTCTGAAACTGAAACCTGACTTCCCTGATGCCTATTGCAATTTGGCCCACTGTTTGCAGGTAAGGAGACTCGTTGGTATTCTTGGAAAATCGGGCAGCTTTTCTGTATTTGCAAGCTACACAGGCAGCTGCTTTTTCTTTTTAAGATTGTTTGTGACTGGACCGATTATGATGAACGAATGAAGAAGCTGGTTACCATAGTTGCTGATCAGCTGGAGAAGAACCGACTCCCTTCCGTCCACCCTCATCACAGCATGCTCTACCCGTTGTCTCATAACTTCCGAAAGGCTATTGCGGAACGACATGGAAACCTCTGTCTGGACAAGGTGGGTTCATCCCTCAGAAGCTTCACAGCATTCACTCTTTTAGAAGACACAGGCTTGGTAGGAGGGGGGGTGGTCCTTTTTTAATGCACTATAAGTAGCTGCTATTTTTTTTCCTTGCCAGATCAACGTGCTTCACAAGCCCCCCTATGAACACCCTAAGGAGTTGAAGGCCAGCGAAGGCCGGCTCCGTGTGGGCTATGTCAGCTCCGACTTTGGGAATCACCCCACGTCGCACCTCATGCAGTCAATCCCAGGCATGCACAACCCGGACAAATTTGAGGTAAGGGGCCTTTCGAGGAAGTTGACACCTTGCTGATTCTGATAGGGTGTCCTGACTTGCAGTGGTGGGTTGCGCCTTTTATAAATGCAGCTCTCTTTTATAACATGCTGTGGAAAGCAGCCTCTGGGGATCCTGAGTCCCAAGCATTGCAGTGTTGCTCCCTTCTAGGTGTTTTGCTATGCGCTGAGCCCTGATGATGGCACAAACTTCAGAGTAAAAGTGATGGCTGAAGCAAATCATTTCATTGATTTATCTCAGGTAAGAATCTCTGAATGTCGGGGGCTGAGCATAGGAAGCTTCATAGAATAGCATGGCTTTGGGGTAAAGATGGCGGGGCATTGTCTTCAGCTTGAGAGGAAAATGACTTTAGTTCCAGTGTTGAGCAACACAATATGAAGGACAAGGCATGCACTCTACTAGTTTTAACGACCATGGAAATTAAAAGCCACACTCTGGCATTCAGAATAACCGGCCCATATTTCTGCTCGGAGATTTAGAAGTTGCAGCAAAATCTGTGATGTCTTCTTGAATCTCTATCTTTGGAAAACAAAGTCAAATATTGCCCTGATATCTCAGTCCATGAATGTTGGTTGCCATCCTTGAGCAAAGCAGAAAGATGGCTTAGCAGTGCACTTTAATTTTGGCTCCCAAGGTTCCGTGCAATGGGAAAGCCGCTGATCGCATCCACCAGGACGGCATACATATCCTCATTAACATGAACGGCTATACCAAGGGAGCCCGGAACGAGCTGTTTGCCCTCAGGCCAGCACCAATCCAGGTAATGCAGTCACTTCAGATGCTTCTGGTCAAACATACTGGGCTTCTTTCTGTGAAAATTACCTTCTACTTCCTTCAGACTTTTTTTGTACAAATGGTAGGCGAATTTTATCCAGATTATTTTACAAAGGAATAACAATGATTTTGGTGCGTGATAAAAATTGTTTGTCCTGCCTTGACATTGGGTCACACGGGAATGGCCTAAATTTCGTGTTACAAATAAACTCTTTCAGTCTTCAGATCTTCCTGCTTACCATGCAGAGATTATAGTGACAATTTATCTAGCATATTTTAAGACTATTTAAATGGATTTAAAAAAAAAAAAACTTTTGCTCTTAAGTTATCCACTAAATATATGAAGTAGTCATCAGGTCTATGTTGTCTCCAGAAATTTTCTGAAAGATTCCATGGCTGGTTGTGATAATTGCTATTTTGTGAATATAAACTCTGAATGTTCTTTCAGGACACTGTTGGGGTTGTGGGTGACCTTGACCCCAGACACATTTTATCTTCACTTCTAGGCTATGTGGCTGGGCTATCCAGGGACTAGCGGCGCCTTATTCATGGATTACATCATCACAGACAAAGAAACTTCACCCATAGAAGTAGCTGAGCAGTACTCCGAAAAGCTGGCTTACATGCCCAATACGTTCTTCATTGGAGATCATGCAAACATGTTCCCACACCTGAAGGTACTGTAGGGTTCAGCGAGCAAGGCTGGAGTCTGCCAGCTTTGTTTCTCTCGGCGTTTCCTCTGAAGTTAACAGAAGCCCCAAATCCAGCCTTCTCAAAGCATTTCTTTTCTTTCAGAAAAAAGCAGTTATTGACTTCAAATCAAACGGGCATATTTATGATAACCGAATTGTTCTGAACGGCATTGATCTAAAGGCCTTCCTGGACAGCCTACCTGACGTAAAAATAGTAAAGGTGAGTCACGAGCATGCAGGCCGTCTTCTAGAAAGTTGCAAATGGGGAACTGAAAAGGCTAACTTTCAAGGAAGGAGAGGGTGTGTATGAAGTTGGACTGGCTAGATTTTATGCTTGGCTGCTTCCTCTTTCTGAAAACGTGGGGTTTGCCTCTCGGCTTCTAGATGAAATGTCCTGATGGAGGAGACAATGCAGACAGCAGTGCTGGTCTCAGCATGCCCGTCATCCCCATGAACACGATTGCCGAAGCTGTGATTGATATGATAAACCGTGGACAAATTCAGATAACAATAAACGGATTTAACATTAGCAATGGATTAGCAACTACCCAGGTGAAAAGCTCTGTGTCCCGCCTCCTGGTTTGGGATTCTGGGGCTCTTAACAGTTGAGGGTTTTGATTGGGGAAGGAGGGTGGAAGAGGGAACCGGCCTTGTGGAAGGCAGTAGAGGAAGGCCTGCAGCCTTGAAGGCTCAACAGCCTCCCTGAGTGAATTCTTCCATTTAGATCAACAACAAAGCTGCAACTGGAGAGGAGGTTCCACGCACCATCATTGTCACCACTCGGTCCCAATATGGGCTGCCTGAAGATTCAGTTGTCTATTGTAACTTCAATCAGCTTTATAAGATTGACCCGTCCACTCTGCAAATGTGGGCTAATGTGAGTAATTGGCTGTGGTCTCTCTGGGTTCTTTCTAAAACATGGACTTGAGGATGGAGTTTTGTCTAGGTTACGTTGCATGTGCCTAAAACGTTGTCTTTCCTCCCTTTAGATCCTGAAGCGAGTTCCAAACAGTGTTTTATGGCTATTGCGATTCCCAGCCGTGGGGGAGCCAAATATCCAGCAGTATGCTCAGAACATGGGCCTGCCCCAGAACCGCATCATCTTCTCCCCTGTGGCTCCCAAAGAAGAGCACGTGAGGAGGGGCCAACTGGCCGATGTCTGCCTTGACACCCCCCTTTGTAACGGCCATACCACAGGGATGGACGTGCTTTGGGCTGGGACTCCAATGGTCACGATGCCAGGTAAGGGGTGGGGGGGCTCTTCCCATCCAGCCCCTTCCTCAATATGTCAAGAAAGTGGCCTGTGGCCGAGCAGCTGTGAGCCTCTTGTCTTTTGTCTCCAGGAGAGACGCTGGCCTCCCGGGTGGCAGCCTCCCAGCTGACTTGCCTGGGCTGCCTTGAACTCATCGCAAAGAGTCGGCAGGAATATGAAGACATTGCGGTGAAACTGGGAACGGATCTAGAATAGTAAGTGTGTTTCTGAGGGGTGGGAATGCTAGTGTGCGTTCAGTCCTGAAAGCGCAGCATATCCCTTCAAAAGCCCGGGGACTGGAGGAATGCCTGGGCCAAATAGTCAGAACCTGAGGAAGGGTGAGTTTCTGAGGGATGGGCTTCTACTCATTGGGGGTTTGTTCTCCCTCTGCAGCCTGAAGAAGATTCGTGGCAAGGTCTGGAAGCAGAGAATATCCAGCCCCCTGTTCAACACCAAGCAGTACACCATGGAGTTGGAGCGGCTTTATCTCCAGATGTGGGAGCACTGTGCAGCTGGCAACAAGCCGGAGCACATCGTCAATTCCCTGGAGAGTGGCGAATCTGCCTAGGTCGCCCGCCCATGTGTGGAAGCTGTCAGGAGGCTCCTGAGCAGAGGCCACCAAAAGGGACTTCACCTCTGCTTCCTTCCTCTGCCTGGAACTCCTAGCAGAAAGGATCTGTGGTTGGAACTGGAGAGCCCAGCCGGACTTTCCTCCTGCATGACGGAAGAGCTGGAGCTGCTTGTCCTGGCTGAAGCATTTGCCGCTCAGCTCTGCCAGGCCCCGGTAGGCGTCTCTGGGCTGGGCTCTACAAGGAAAGGTGTAGGACAGCCAGGCAGCTGCCATTTCATGGATGGATTCAGTTTCCCTAGAAGTTAAATCTTCCTTTGTGGATTGGAACTGGAGCTTTTTTAAAAGATTGGTTTTTCGGGTATTCCTGTTGGTACACGTGTGGGTCTGACAAGGTTTCCAGCTAGCTCGAGTTGCTCCTCCCTGGGAATCTCTGCTGGTGAAGCTTTTTTACGGGTTTTATAAACCACTTGAGCCAACATCGGCCTCCTTAATGTCTGACACGTCTCCTAGGCTTTGTGTGCTGTCTTGACTCGGGTGAGGGCTTTTTTTAAAGCCTCATCTTGTCAGTTGGCTTCAGAACAGCGCACCTCTCTGTAGGAAAGATAAATTGAATTTAAAATGTGGTGGTCTCGTCTTTCCCTGAACCCAACCTGGTGCCAAATGCTTATCCTTCAGGAAAAATAATTATGTATGGAGTTGCAGGCATAGCACAGTAGCACAGACTTGCAAAATAAAGCTCTGGTTTGACCAGGTTGGCCCATGGGTAGGGGACCGGCCCTTCCGCCACAAAGCAATTGTGTGCAGGGCAGCTGGCCTCTTGACTTCAGCAGAAATGCAGCCCCAGGTAGGTATGGATTCCCTTTTCACAGAAGGATGCTTTTCACTGACCACCTGCCTGGGGAGCAGGCAGCCTTGACAGGCAGAACTGAAGAGACAGGGGGAAGAATGAGCCCTCCCCCACTTAATTTGCTCTGCCTGCAATTAACCAAAGCCTCGGTGGGCCCACCGAGAGCGCTGCATGGGGCGGGGGGCTTGATGGCTCCCTAATGTGCTGTTCGAGCAACCCCTTCAATAGCCCCACTCCTGCTTAAGTGGCTCCGAAGAGGGCTTTTGTTTCTGCTGGGAAGGGCCTCTGGAGACCCCCACCCCATGCAGCCCCTGCCCTGGTGGAGGCAGAGATGGGCAGGGCTGCCCGGAAGGAAAGGGGAAGGGGTGAGCCTCGTGTCCTGACCAGGAGCAGCCCCTGTGTGGTGGGGGGAGGAAAAGCGGTTGGGGCTCTGCTTGCGCGTGTACCAGCCTTGATGTCCGGATGAGTGGCTGACAAATACAGATGAAATCACTGGTGACCGACTGTCTCTGCCTCTTTTCTTGTCTCGTGGGGGGCGGGGAACCGGCGGGGCGGGGCGGGTTTGGGCTGGGAAGAGCGGGCGGTTGCCCCTCCCGCGCGAGTCGCCCCGGCAACGCCAATCGCGCCGGACCTGCGGATGGTGAGGCCGGCGGCCGGCGGCTTGGCGGGGGGGGGGGGGGGGGGGGGGTGTGGGGGGACGGCGGTTATCGAGGCTCTCGCCCGTCCAGGCCCATAGAGGGAAGGGGGCGGCGGCCTCGCCTCGGAGGAAGCTCGGCCCGAAGCTGGAGCTCAGCGCGGCCCACAAGCAGCAGATGCGCGAGGCCTTCGACCTGCTGGACGCGGACGGGACCGGCACCATCGACGTGCGGGACCTGAAGGCGAGCGGGGCTAGCCCGGGGCGGGGAGGGCGGGGGGCTCCCTCTCCGCTTCCCGTTCTCACCGCCTCCCCCCGCCCAGGTGTCCATCCGCGCCCTGGGCTTCGACCCCACCAAGGAGGAGCTGCGCCGGGTCGTGGCCGAGGTGGACAAGGAGGGCGCGGGCAAGATCGGCTTCGACGCCTTCTACTCCGTCATGGCCCAGAAGATGGTAGGGCCGCCAGCCACCCCCCCACCCCGAGAAGGGGGGAGCTTGGCCGTATACTTCGGCTTCTGAAGCGGGAGGCGTCGGGTCGGAAGCCCCTGGCCCAGCGCGGGAGGGGGCGGGGGAGCCTGGGGGGGGGCAGGCTCTGCGGGGCGAGAGAAACGAGCTCACCGCCCCCCCCCATCCTGTAGTCAGAAATCGATTCCAAAGAGGACATCCTGAAGGCTTTCAAGCTCTTCGTGGACAAGGACAGCGGCAGGATCGCCTTCAAGAACCTCAAGCAGATCGCGGCTGAGATCGGGGAGAACCTGACCGATGAAGAGCTGCAGGTGCGTCCCCTCCCGCACTCCCCGAGGGAGCCTGCTGGCCCCCCGAAGAGGGTCTTCCTGCCTCCCACCCGCTTTCTCTGCCCCGCAGGAAATGATCAACGAAGCCGACCTGGATGGCGACGGGGAGGTGGCCGAGCAGGAGTTCCTGAAGGTCATGAAGAGGCGGGATTACTAGGTGGGTCCCTGAAGGCCCAGAGCGCCTGGCCTCCCCACAGAGACCCCTTTCACTCCTCTGGCTTGATAGTGAGATGGGCGGCATCTAAATTTAACCAGCCAACCAACAGGAGGGGATTCAGAGCCATGGGGGGGGGTCTCTGACCATGGCAGAGAAGAGATCGGCTATGGGGGGGCCTCTTTGAAGCGCCCGTCTCCACCCAGCACCTCCTTCCTGACCACAACTCTCACTGAAAGGTGGGGGGGCGATGGTGGCCCAGGAACATGGTAATCCCACACTTCAAAAGCCCCTACTCTTCCCTCCCAAATCTGTTCCCACGGGTGGATTTGGGAGTTCCTCCATGCAAAGCAGGTCGTCTGCCCAGTCGTGTGAATGAGGGTTGGGGTTTTCTACACTCAGGTAATACGTCGTACGAGCCCAGCCACAACTTCCCAGGCCGAACAAGGATCCTTCCTGGCTGAGGAGCATCTGGTGATCGCAAGAGACAACAGAATCACCGTCAGCAAGAGAGAAGCCACTAAAAATCAAAAGCATGGGAATCGCCTGAGATTTCGTGACGGGGCAAAACGTCCATAAAACTGGGAGGGGGAGGGGGCTAGCAGGTGAGAGTGGTTGGCCTGGCCAGCTTTGCCTCCTCTGCTGAATGGGACGGTTTGTTCTGATGGTTTGCAAAACATTTCCACCGAAAAGGGAGGGGCAGCTCTGAGCAAAAGTAATGCTTGCCTACCTGGCCATGAGAAATAAAGTTGCGTCTGTTGCAATTGCTTCTCCCTGGTGGTTGAGAGAAGTAGCTGTGAGTGTCACTTGTGTATGTGCCAGGAAGGGTGGAAGCCAGCTCCCCCCCCCCAGGTAACCAGGACCAACCTTTAGCCTCCCCTAGAAAGACCCCGTCATTGCAACAGATGAAAAGCAACCGGAGCACCCAGGCAGGAAAAGAGGCAGGAAGAGGCTGCTCATCCTCCTTCATGGTGAAGGATCAGGGGGACACAGGTGGGCTAGAGGGGCTCATAGAGCGTAGAGCCAAGCAGAAAGAACGTCCGAAGGGAGCAGACATCCTGCGGGGCTCTTGGCTTGTGTTTTTCCGGTTTTCTTGAATCCTCTATGACCTCATGGGAGTCCAGCCAATAGCTGAGCTTGCTCCTGACCCCCAACAGCAGCCAGAGACGCGGCTGCAGCAGATTCCCTGCAGAGGAACGAGCGGTTCTGCCACCCCACCTGGAGCCCTTCTGCCAGCCTGCCCTGGCTCTTTGTGAGCGAGTGGCTGCCGCATTCTCGCTCCGCATTCCGTATCCGGAGGGAGGGACAGAAGCCCACGCTTATTGTTATCGAGAGCGGTAAAGATAAGAGGGTTGGACTCGATATCAATTAATTCGGCCCTCTGGCATTTCACAGCCCTTGTCTGCACTTCCTCCTGTGATCCATCACACCCCGGCACTGCTTTATGGGCCCGAGAGCAACTTGGCACAGCACCTCTGAAGGGGATTTATGGCTGGCATATATTATGTCTTATAGGGAGCTGCAGAGGAATGGGAGAAGCCGGTAATTACTTCGTAAATATTAATGCCGCGTCCCCTGGAAAAGCGAGAGGCTGAAGCCACGCTGTTTCTGCAGAGTCAAGCTCTGGGGGTAGCAGCAGGGGGCCCCCAGCTCCCCAGCAGGAAAGCTCGGAGTGACAGGCAGGCCTCATCGGTGTCTGGAGCCCGGCCTGTTAGTTCCCCTGGCATTAGTGGCCATTGTGCCCTGGGGATACTTCAGCTGATTTACCCTCTCCTCAAATCCTGGCTGGTCAGGCCACTGCTCTCTGAAAAACCTGGATATACAATTAGGGGTACCTTGTCTTATTTTGTCCTTCCTTCCACAGACCCCTTTTCTCCATTACAAGTCTGCTCCAATTCAAGGTGACCCATTGTTTTGGTGCCCTAGCTGAAAAGCATTTTTAGTCACATAAATGGTTATTTCTGAGCAGGCTGCCTCGTTCAAAGAGTAGAAGAGCCACTGCTTCTAGAAGTTTCCACCAAGCAAGGACATATTCTTGACGTGCAGAACTGTCCAGATTCCTATGGAAGAGAATATTTGAACCTGGTGGTTTCTAAGTTTGGTTGTTTCCTTGCAAACGTCTCATTACCCAACAAGGGAACATAATCAGTGTTAGCACCAAGATCTCCACTGTCCAGATTAGAACCTGGCAGCTTTGATTCAAAAGTGGGGGTGGGGTTTCCATCGGATGCTTTCCTCGGGAGAGGCATCTTCCTTGCAGGCAGTGGAGCTTTTTCTGTGATGCCCCTTCCCCAACATTGGGCTGCACCTTCCTCTTTCTCCCCCACCCCCAAATTTCTGCCTTTGTGTGCCGGATGAGAGACCGGAGCTTCTGCACTGTTTTAATGAAAACGACAGAATTGTTAGCAATGGAAGCAGGACCTGAGGGGGTTTGTAGGGGGAATAGGTGTTTTGGCAGAGTTTGGGCCGGCCGCCTCCCTCCCCACGGACAGCCTCTTCTCGATGGTGGCCTGGCTCCAAAGCAAAACTGGTGAGCCGGGAAGCGTTCCCAAGAGCTCAAACTAGAAAGCCTCCCGTCCTCCCCAGCACCGGGATGAGCCCAGAGACTGGGGTGGCTTGTGCATTGGGGAGTGTGGTTTTGGAGTGTGTGTGGGGCTGGTGTGAGACACCCAAGAGTTATGGCACGTAAGATGGGCAGCCATACTGGCCTTTGAGTTAATTATAAAACAGGGACTAAGCATGAAGATTTTGGGATCTCTGCTAAAAGCGAAGTTCTCTCTGTCCCTGGTGCAACCCGGGAGGAGAGAAAGGGGGCTAGTTCCAGACTCAAGAGGTCCTTCAAAGGGGGAGGGGGGCGGAGGCAGGCCAAGCAGCTGCTGCTGACCAGGAGGGGAGGGGAGGGGAGGGGAGGGGAAGCTGGGGGCCTTCAGAGGCTGAGGGAGCCCCGTCACAGAAAGGCTGCGATGCAGAGAGCGAGCCGGGTCCACGCAGCGTTGCTCTCTCACGGCCAGGCGCTGCTGAACAGCAGAAACGGAGCTTTGGGCGCCGGGAGGGAAAGCGGCACAAATTTCTAAGCACGCAACCCAGCCATTCAAAGGGTGCCTGGATTTCAGCGCATGCGCCGCTCTCGATCCGAGGCTCTGTGCGCGCAACCCACGCTTGTCCGCCAGCCACGGGATCCGGCTCCAACGGAGCTTCGAAGCCCAGCTGATCCCGGGCTCCCCTCCCGCGTGGGACCCGCGGCTGGGTCTGCGTGGATGACAGCCCGGCCTCCCTCCCGTCCCCTCCGCCCCGGGGCCTGGTGAGGCTCCGGGCTGTCGAGGAGGACGGAGCCGAGCCGCTGTTGGGCCGGGGCGGCGGCGGCTGGGCTGGGCTGCCGGAGGAGGGAGGGGAGGAGGCGAGGCGCGTGTCGTCAAGCCGGCGGGGGAGGGCCTGCCGAGGCTGCCCGCGCATAAAAGCGGCCGGGTCGAGGGGGCGGTGAGCAGATCGAGGAGCAGCGGCGTTCTCCGGCCCTCGCCCGCCACGCTCCCGCCTGGATGCGCTTGGCGCGGGGGGCTTCGCGGGGCCCGACTGCGGCGTGAGCGGCTCGTCCCGGCCTCGGAGACCTCGCGCTCCGGAGGAGCCGCTGCTGGAAAGGTGGGCGCGACGCCTGCGGAAGGAGACGGGTAGGCGGGGGGGGCTCTGGGGCGCGGGGCAGCGGGCAGCGGGCATCGGCCCGGCTCTGGGGTCGAGTTCCGAGGCGCCCACGTGTTCTCCAGAGGAACTTTGCCGCGGGGGCGGCTTGCCGTTGGCAGGCCCGTTTCCACGCGCGGAATTCTCCACATCCCGTATAGCCGGCCGTGGAAGTCGCGGAGAGGTGCGGCCGGGGCGCCGAACCCGCAGGAAAAGGCGGCTTCATCTGAAGGAACGTCAGAACAAGGCGATGGGGCAAGCGGGCAGCTCTGCAACAAAGGAAGGCGTCCTTCCCCCCACCCCCACCCCCACCCCGAGGGTTTCTGGAGCGGGCCTCTTGTCACCGGGAGGCCAGGCTGTGCCAGAGCCCCACGCCCGCTCCTCCTGCTTCTGTGGGCGCGCGGGGGTGAAGCAGCTGCTTCCCAAGCCACGCTTGGCGTCCTTCAAAGGTGGCCTCGGCGGGGATGTCGAAGGGCAGCCGGGCTGCTGTTGGAGAGGCGCAGCCTCTTGGACCGGAGGGAGCTGCGCGCCTGGAAATAAATCCCCCCCTTCCCTGCTCTGAAGCTCCCCCGGCCCCCTTGCCTTGTCCCATTTGGGTGAGAAGCACTTTTGCTCTTCTTCCCAGAGCCAGACTGACCACAAAGGCGGCTCTGATCCGTGTGTGCTGGGGGGGGGGATTAGGTCATCCTGCAAGGAAGGGACTAGGGGCCAGACTAGGCTGCCCCTTTGGCCGACTTTGGCTTCCAAGTGGGGAGCAGGCCAAAGGGGAAGCGGGAATAGCTTTAGGGGGCCACATGAATCCCTAGGAAACCAACCCACCCTCTTCCCCCGTGCAGGACCAGGAGAAAAGAAACCAGGTGGGGCAGTTTATAACTCTATTCAATCATTTCAGCCCTTTGCTTTTCCTCAGTAATGCCAACCTTCTTGCCAAAAAGTGAGATTGTTTGCAGGTGAACAGGAAGGTGGAAACCTGGGAAAGAAAAGCTAAAAAACCCTTCCAGCTTTATTTTCCTAAATTCTCTGACTCCTCCAGGCTGTCCAAAGCAGGACAGGGCAGGGGGGGGCACGAGGAGACTTGTGAACAGCAGGCTAAGGGGGGGGTGTCCCCCCAGGGGCAGTGAGGGCCAAGTCCAAACTTCTCGCCCAGTTCCCTGCTCAGCTGATGGACGGAGAAAGACATTTCTCAGAGGCACCCAGTTATCTTGCTTGATAAACTTTCCATTCATGGGTGTGAGCCAAACTTGGGAGACCGAACCATTCAGAGGCCCAACTGCTTGATGGCAGTTGAGGGGGGTGAAGTGGTTCTGCCCACCTGCAACCAGCTGCCAAGCCCTCCCCTCCCTTCCCTTCCCAGCCCTGCAGCTGTTGTAAGGGAGGCACAGCAGGGGCTGCCTTTCTTCCCCTGCATGGATTCTCCTCTTGAGCCGAGTGAAATGGGAAGTTTCTCATCCAGGACTGCAGCTGGGGGTGGGGGGGGAGGCAATGCACAGCCCTTGCTGGAGGGCTCTGGGACTCTGTTGGGAGGGCATTCCCCCTCTCCCCAAAGAGCTTGAATGGGATGCTGCATGGATTACAATGGGTCTTGTCATAAATGAGGACGCTATCTCCGCTTTCTTTCGAAATGAGGCGTTTGTCCTCTTTTTACCTGTATCCAAATTAAACTGACAGCAAACCCCATTCCATCAACTCTTCTTTTGTTTAATTGAGCAAAATTCCCATGTTGGGCATTGCCGTTCTCCCACCTGGCGGAGCGGGTGCAGTTTTGGGCAGAGGTCAGATTGCAGCCCAAGAACCCCAGCTGTCATGGGGGTCTTTTGGAACAGGAGTGGCGGCAAAAGGATGGTGTGTGGAGTTCAGATGTGTCCGCATGTGGGGGAAAGGAGGGCAGGCAGCACAAGGCCCCGGGAGCCCCCCCTCTCCCCCCCCCGGACAGGAGGGGCCTAACCTTCCTGTGCTTCTTTCTTTTCCAGAGGGGCCTCAGGATGGCCTTGGCAGACAATGCCAGCGGTGCCAGGCTCAGGGAGGGCTCAGCTTTCCCAGAGATTGTGGAGCTGAACGTGGGCGGGCAGGTCTACCTCACCCGCCACAGCAC